AGATCTACATTCCCTCTCCCCCCCTCCCCTCTCCACCTCTCCTCTCTCCCCTCTCCCCTCTCCCCTGTCTCCCCTCTCCCCCCCTTTCTCTCTCTCCTCCTCCACTGAAAAAATAATAAAAAATAAGTAAGCAAAGGAGATTCCATTAAAGAAAAAATCCAAAGGTTTGCTACACAAAATCGATAAATAGCATAGTTGACAGAGGATAAATACCAAAGCTTTGGCTCAGTATGCCCATCAAACGTGAGCAGAAAGAAAGTTCAGCAGTTTTGATGAACAACGCAGAATTTATAACAAATGTATCGTGGCATAAGGATCCTTTTTATGTGGATAATGGACAGTTTTCAGTAGTTGAAGAGGTACATTCTCTGTCAGTGATCACAACAACAGAGTGCATGAGACAAAAACAGAAGTAGAAGTAGAAATGTGTATGGCTTCGGGAAGATTTTATATCACAGACTGTTAACAGGTCCAGAGAAACATAAACCATGTGAATCGTATAATAACTAAAGTCAGAATTTAAGTGTCCCTGAAGAATATACAAAAATCGGTCCTGTATCAGGCAAGAGAAAAAAAAAAAAAAAAAAAAAAAACCGCAGTTTTGAAAATACTGAAAGTTCACCGTGTTAGTCACACGGTCATTACCTTCAGTTTTAACCATGTAAGAATAGACCCAGGTTGCCAGTATGGTGATCACAGGGCGCGCTTTATCCATTGAGGCCCTGGCAGGCATCACCATCACCGTAAAGGTTAGGGCTCTCGGGTGGAGTCGGGTTGGAGACTGTGCTGGGACCTCAGCGGTCTCCCTCCTGGGGGTTCCGGAACGGGGCTGCATGTCTGCGTGGAGGTTTGCACCATATCCGGCAGGGTCAGGTGTTGATGAGCAGAAAGCCACAGGGAGGTAGGGTCTGCCGACCTGTGTCTGGAAGGGGGGTTCTGTGCCTTGCTCTAAGCGTGCTTAACCACAGGAAGCCGGGGAGGGGGTCCCTGGAGCGGGCAGCAGGACAGAGTCTGTTTCTGTTTGGAGGCTTGGGAACTGCGTGCGTTCGGCCCCTGGCCTCATATGTGGAGTAGCCCCTACTACTGCGAGAGAGACCGCTGCCGCTCCTTCCAGCCTTCCACGGCGGGAAAGCTGTCGGTCTGTGCCGTGAGGCACGAATTTATGGAGAGGAGGGTTCCCTCCTTCAAAAACAAAAAAAATGGTAATAGTGTGGCAATGATAATACGGAGCGTGTGTCTACAGCGTAGGCAGTTTATAGATAAATGTAAATAAAATGACAATAGAAACTAAAGTTTTGGAAAAATTTTTAAAAACTTCAGCCGAACAAATAGCTGTTGGATCAAGCGGGCAGTGAAGTTTCTAATCGCCAATTGCTTTGAGGTCGTGGCCCGTCGAGGCCAACTCCGGAGCACCAGCGGCCTGTGACCGTAGAGCTTGAAGTTTAATTCCCAGTTGGGTATTTCCTCTCCCTTCGCCCCCAGGGAGGGGGGACACTGGGTGTTTATCTTCGGATTCTGTAGCACGTGCTTTTGCTTCTAAGCTGCAGCCTGACCCTCGTCACACTGCCGGCTCCGACCGTCATTAGTGACTTCCTCCCCTCTGTCCACCTCCTGCTCGTCCCAGGCCTCCGCTGTCGCCGGAGAGTGTCAGCTATAACAGGACAAGGTTGCGGTTAACCCCCGGTTCTGGCATGACCGCGGCTGCTGGCGGATGCGGAAAGATTTGTCCGGGGTGTGTTGCCTTCGGACTCCTTGTGCGGCGGGAGAACGGCAGGCATCTTCCAAGATGCTGGTACTTTGAGAGCTGGACTCACAGCTCATGCTCAGTAGGCTGCTCCCCGCGGAGAAGAGATTTTTTTCCCTAGGTCTTCCGTCCGGATGGCACAGACCTTATATACGGTGCCCTTAATTGTCCGGTCATTGCTCTCATGTGGCCAGGGAGCGAAGCTGGTGCCAACTGGTTTCGCCGCGGGCCCAGGAGAGTTGAGTACTTGTGCATGTGTTTTCAACCCAGGATGCCAAAAAGCCTTTTCCGGCGGGCTCTGGCGGTTTCCCTTTGTGAGCAGCAACAGGCAACCCAGAGCAGGGAGGGGCTGAGACAGAGCTTAACGCTGGCGCTGGCGTGGCTGCAGGGGGCAGCCGGGGCCCTGTCTCCTCGGCCCCTGTGCCTCTTGCCTGCTTTCACAGGTGCGGATGTAAGACGGGGAGCGGCTGCACGCCTTCTGATTCCCGCGAACGCAGAGCGGGTGCCCGGGGGCGTGGGCAGCCGCGTCGGGTGGTACCTGCGTGGTATCTCGGTGCCGCCGCCTTTCCCGTAAAACGCGGGGGTGCCGGTACCAGCTTCTCGGACGGTGGAAACGACTGCGTCCGCGGTGCGTTTAGAGTCCGCTGAACCTGCCTCGGAAACGCTCCAGTGTCAGCTGCGCTCGGACTTGATTATTGTTATCGGTGACAAGAACACTTGATTTCCTTCCAGGATCGAGCACTTTGCCAGAATCTACAGTCAGAAAATTGGCATCAGGAAAGAAGTCCTTATGAAAACCCTGTGGGGAGATTATTATATAAACATGAAGGCCAAGAAGATTATGAAGGTCGATCAGGTGATGTGGCACGTTCTCGCCCTGTTGAGACTTGCGCGGTAACACCTTTACTGTCCTTGGTTCACGTGGGTCAGTCCACGAGGGGCTTTTTCCTGTACACCTTTGGTTAAAGCTCATGTGTCTCATTTCCAAGTGTCGTTCTTTAAATACTGGGTGTTTAAAGAGACGCGCTCTCGGAGCAAGCTGTACCCCGAGGCTCCGCTGAGGCCTCTCTCCCACCAAGCGCTGGTCACCGCGTGTGCTCACGGGGAGAGGTGGCTACTGCCCAGCCCTTCCTTCTGTAGGCAGAGGGGATGCCGAGTCACGGAGCCTCGAAGGATACTTCCTTTCGGCCGGGTTGTTGTTTTAATGTAAAATTCAGGATTTTATAAATTCATTCTCACGGAAGAGCACGTATATTCCTTTTAGAAAATGCTTGTGAATATAAAGCCACAAGAAAAAGAAAAAAACAGAAGCCAACACTGCTAATGGTGTGGTTTTAATTTTGTGCGTTCTCATAGGATAGAGACATACATCCCTCAGTTGATTCTGTTATTTCCATAACGGAGCTGGTGGTTTGCTTCACATCATACTGTGAACATCTCCCCTTGCCATTAAAAGCTTTTCATAAACGGTATATTTTAAAAAGGAGCCAGCGTGGCGAGGTGGGTCGAGAGTCCGAGTCTGTGGCTGAGTCTCGGCCCTGTGGCCTCTGTCTCTGTTCTTTCCTCTGTGAAATGGGGACAGTAGTTCTTACCTCCTCGAGCAAGGGGGCGTCCGTTTATGTTCCGTCTCCCGTGTGTGTGAGGGCATCCTTCTGCTGGTGCTCTTGCCATTATTTTGCATAGACCTTTTTGGTAAGAGAAACGATAGGGCTTTTTGTTTTTCTGTTACCCTCTTCCTTGAAGTTTAGCGTTTTCCATGTTTAAGAACATTGTTCGGAAGAAGTTCGTGGAAGGACCTGCACACGCGGAGTGAATTTTCAGCTGCCGGTGTGGGCATCGTGTGCCCCCTGATGGCAGTGGGGGGAGGCGGCGGTCCCAGCGACTTGACCCCCAGCCGGTCTCGTCGTTTGTCGAGTCTCTGGTTCCCAGAGGAAGAGAACAGTGGTTGTTACTGACTGCAGATTATTGGCTGTTTAGTGCATATTTATAACTGCTTTCTGCCACTTTACTGCTAAGTAAACATCTTCTGGTAGAAACGAGACACGTTAATACAACACGTCGAGAATGAGTATGTAGGCTGCCTGTTGAATATTGGGAAACTTAAGTACGTGTGTTCTTTTTTACAGGCGAAAGGAAAGAAACCTTTATTTGTACAGTTGATCCTGGAGAATGTATGGAGTTTGTATGATGCGGTCTTGAAAAGGTAAGACTGCTGTAGTGCTGGGTCTTTGGGCGCTGTGATTTGCCTCCCTTCCAGCGTGATGGGTGTCGCTTCACAGAGCTGGGCTGGACGGAGCAAGGGAATGGACCCTTCACAGATGGGCTGGTCCTGGGGTCCAAGGTAGAAGGGCATGTGGTGCAGGTAAAGGTCGTGGAAGGGACTGAGGAGCAGTCTGTGCTTCTGGAGGGCTGAGACGTGGATATAGACGAGATGGGTGGAGGGAAACACTGGACCTTTGTTTGTATAAACCCAGTTTGAGATGAAATCGTATTTGTAGTGGAAAGGGTATTTGACATCTAGGATCATTCACAGGGAACTTGGGAACCGACTTGCCTGATACAAGTAGAAAGAAGGTTTGCTTTGTAAATTGTCATTCAGAGTTATCTGGAGTTGGAACTGTGACTTCCAGCACTCGTACATAAAACTGCCTCTCCAATCACCATAGCTCGCTAAGGGGATTGGGCTCGTGCTCCAAGGGGCTCTGAAGAAGGGGTCATTGGAAGGAATGGAGTAGAGATTGAGCCGTCCTCCACTGTGGCTGGAGCCCCTTCCGGGTGTGTCTAGTTTCTTGTAGGAGGAGTACGTGGGGAGGAAGCGTGTCTAGTTCTTTTTTTTATTTAAAAAAAAAAAAAATTTTTTTAATGTTTATTTTTGAGAGAGACCGAGCACGAGCCAGGGAGGAGCAGAGAGAGAGGGAGACACAGAATCCAAAACAGGCTCCAGGCTCCAGGCTCCAAGCTGTCCGCACAGAGCCTGATGCGGGGCTCGAACTCACAAACTGTGAGATCGTGACCTGAGCCGAAGTCGGACGCTCAACCAACCGAGCCAGCCAGGCGCCCCGGAAGTGTGCCTAGTTCTTGTGGAAGGAGTGTGTCTGGAGGAAGTGTGTCAGAATGTGGCATTCGTGTTCCTCTCTGCCCCTTGGTGTCTCTCTGTGACCTCCCTGTTTGTATGTTTCCTACAGGGACAAAGAAAAAATTGATAGGATCGTGACTTCTTTAGGATTGAAGATTGGAGCCCGGGAGGCACGACATTCTGATCCTAAAGTTCAGATCAATGCCATTTGCAGCCAGTGGCTGCCCATTTCCCATGCTGTGCTTGGTATCCTTTGTCCTGATGGTTTTTAATGAAGTGATAGTTTTGACAAAACAGGAAAAACATGTGACTGGCAAACAGGAAATCCTTTGGAAGTAACACATTTCAATCCAGAGTAAGTCTTCTGTGGGGCGCCTGGGTGGCTCAGTCGGTTGAGCGTCCAACTTCGGCTCGGGTCATGATCTCGCGGTTTGTGAGTTTGAGCCCCGCGTCGGGCTCTGTGCTGACAGCTCAGAGCCTGGAGCCTGCTTTGGAGTGTGTGTGTGTGTGTGTGTGTGTGTGTGTGTGTGTATGTGTGTCTCTGCCCCTCCCCCACTCACGCTCTCTCTCTCTCTCTCTCTCTCTCTCTCTCTCTTCCCCTCCCCCACTCACGCTCTCTCTCTCCTTTGGAAATAAACATTAAAAAAAATCAAAGTAAGTCTTCTGTGGTTATTTCGTATTCCACCACGAAACTGTATTTAATGCTTTTAAAAATGAATATTCTGATGCTAATTTTTATTCTTACTAATACCAATTCAAATGAATGTTCTTTCAGGAAGATGTGTCTTTTTGTTTAGTAGACTGTGACAACAAAAAATTTTATTTTACTAACATTTATGTGTAACTAGATAGTTTAGATGTGTATGTCAGATCAGTGTTTCATTTTAGTGCCATATTTTCTTAGCATATTGGTATTTCTTGTTATATTACTGATTCGAGGAAGACTTGATTTGAGATACATTAGAGTAATTAAAACAATTTTTTTCAACATTTATTTATTTTTGGGGACAGAGAGAGACAGAGCATGAACGGGGGAGGGGCAGAGAGAGAGGGAGACACAGAATCGGAAACAGGCTCCAGGCTCTGAGCCATCAGCCCAGAGCCCGACGCGGGGCTTGAACTCACGGACCGCGAGATCGTGACCTGGCTGAAGTCGGACGCTCAACCGACTGCGCCACCCAGGCGCCCCTAAAACAATTTTTTTTACATTCATTTATTTTTGAGAGAGAGAGAGACAGAGCATGAGTGGGGGAGGGGCAGAGAGAGAGGGAGACCCAGAATCTGAAAGAGGCTCCAGGCTCTGAGCTGTCAGCACAGAGCCTGACGCGGGGTTTGAACCCATGAACCGTGAGATCACGACCTGAGCCGAAGTCAGAGGCTTAAACTGACTGAGCCACCCAGGTGTCCCAACTAAAGTAATTTTATAGGTAAACTATCTTCTTTTCATTGATCTGCGTGTCCCAAGCAGCCCCCGGTGGGCTGTGGTACAGTGTCCCGGGCGTGGGCCAGCAGTGGCACCTCAGCCCGGAGCTGGGATGGACCCACACCTGCAGTGACACTGGCTCGGGGAGGGGAGTTTCTCGTGTCATAGCCGGCGGCTGATGTTGTTTCATGAAAGTTTGTAGAGACTGAAACCATGTGAAAAAATTTTAGGACAAGCTACTGAGCTCTTCTCACTTGTTCCGTGGGCTGTCAGTGTATTAGGATGTCTGTCTTCAGAGTCCTTCCTGGGACGGGGCACCTGGTGGCTCAGCCGGTTAAGCGCCCGACTCCGGCTCAGGTCATGATCTCGCAGTTCGTGGGTTTGAGCCCCGTGTCAGGCCCTGTGCTGACAGCTCAGAGCCTGGAACCTGCTTTGGATTCTGTGTCTCCTTCTCTCTCTGCCCCCCCCCCCCCCCCCCCCCCCACTGGTGCTCTGTATCTCTCTCTCTCTCAAAAATAAATATACATTAAAAAAAAATTAAAAAAAAAAATCCTCCCTGGGCTTGAGAGAGTCCACGAACTCCCTGAACTTGTGTCTGTATTTTGAGACGTGACGCGCGATGTTTGACAGCTCAGGCGTTTTGTGTGTGGCTGTCCACTGCTACCTCAGGAGTCGGCGTGTGCTGTGAGTCTGTGCCTGGGTGGAGGGCACTTGTTCACGACTATGAGTCCTTAACCTCCAACTTCAGCGATGGTGTGTCAGAAACTTCCTAGCCCCCTGGACATTACGGCCGAACGGGTGGAGAAGCTGATGTGCACGGGATCACAGACGTTTGACTCTCTTCCCCCAGAAACCCAGGCCCTGAAAGCAGGTGAGCTGAAGGTGGACTCGGCAGGGGCTTGGTTAAGCGTCCCAAGCCCAGGCTGCTCTAGACCAGTTAGCCCGGTGGCCGATTCCACGGACAGTTCCACAGAAGGCCCTGTTGCCAGTTTTCTTTTCCTGCCAAAGTCGGGGTTTTGCCACGGCCGTTTTGTCCTCGCTGGGCTGGGAGAGCGGAGGCTCTGAGACGCCTCCCTTCTGCCCCGGTCTCGTCTCCTGATCTCCTGGTGACCCTGTCTCCCGGTCCCTGGACGAGCAACGGTGTGTCCCTGAGCTGCTCTGCCGCCACCATGGCTGGGTCCCTGGGGGCCGCGGAAGGGGTTCCACGGCCGGGCCTCTCTTTGGCCCCCACAAGAGGGGACCCGCCGGTCCCAGGCTCCGTCAGGCTCCATGACAGGCAGCTGCAAGGACTCGCGGCCTCCACTCTCCCTCCGATTAGATGTGCAGCCTCCAGCCCAGAACCACTCGGCCGCTGTTCTCGGGGCCCCTCTTGAGCGTCCTCGTTAAACCCTCTGACCGCATCCGTCACGAGTGTCTGACGGCGCAGATCACTCCTCCCCCCGGGAGACACCGTCTTCTCGTGACTTCGGGCTTCCCCCTGCTTGTGCTTTTCTCCCTGTCTCCCTGGCCGCCCATCCTTCGCGTCTTTCCCGGCTCCTCGCCCTGACTTTTCCGGGGTGGGACGCCCCAAGCAAGGCTCGGCCTTCAGACCCCATGCGTTCCCTCCCTGCATCCGGTCCCCTGGCGACCTCCTCCACCTCAGGGCTGTCCGCGACAGCACACTCACCGTTGCCACCCACCTGTGCTGCTGCAGCGCCCGTCTGCCCCCCCCCCCACCCCGCTCCCGTCGCGGCTCCCCACTGCCCACCCCCTCTCCGCTCCCATCGCGGTACCCCTCGCTCCCATTGCAGCACCCCACCCCCCCCCTCCGCTTGCCTGCCCCAGGCGCGCCCCCCCCCCCC